AGCAAGAACAAAGTAGTGTCTGGAGTTTCCATCACAAGTGAAATCCCAGATTTTCTCACTCACTGTTCATGGAACAAAATTGAACAACTTTATTTTAGAGTGCAGTCAGTGCAGGAGGGAGCTATAAAATATAAATTATACCACATAACCCTATATCTCCCAGCTGAACTGTTTGGTTACAACTATACTCCTGTTCGTTACACGGTCCAGCATCTCTGGTATTTCTATAGCGTTGACATGAAAAATGTTCCAACCCTGGTGAAAACGTATAGATTACAAAAGAAATGTAATTCCCTACAAATCGGACAGTTGCCACCCAGTGACAGTGAAGTGTTTATTTTACACTTCTGGACAGAATCAATTAGGGCCACCTCAATTTACAGCTGAAAATGTAACAATCATGGCTGTGTCTAAGCCGACAGACAAATGCAGTGTGTTTCTGAAGCCTGAGCTGCACAAAATGTGTTCCATCATTTCTCACTTTAAACAAATTAAGAGGGAGTGTGTGGCTTCTGCACACACTGAGTGTGATCATGTTCAGAGACCAAAGTTTTTCTAATTCCTTCCATAAGGAATATGATAGTGTTTGGATTAGCATGCAAAATGAAAGCCCTTTTCACACATGCACTGGAACCCTGAAATTCTCTAGACATTACCCGGGGGAACTGTATGTGAGAACGCAAATGTCCAAGTCAGTCGACCGACCCAAAGCTTAAGCGGACTTTACTCTGCCAGCTCTCTAGTACAACGTCTGCATAAGGCCCAAGTGAACTGGAGTGAGCCTATTTGGGAATACAGAGGTATATAGTCTGGAGTATTTACACAGAGCTAGTGGGCATGTTGATGACATTCTATCATGTTACCGGTGCAAAGATGGAAGAATACAACCATCCGGTGGTGAAGAAAAATGGTAATTTACAAAGACGACACCAACGAGAACATCTAACTGGAGACATGACGTGACTCTGGAACTTCTGTCATTAAGAGCCACAGCCAGAATCATCAGACAAGGTAAGAAACTGGTTGTTTAGGTCCAGATCACATACTGGCTACCTGGCTGCATCATGTCTCACCTCCTGTCTGCTCGACCCAGGTGCATCCCCCACACTTAAACCAAACAGACTATTTCCAGTAGGTGAGAACACATCTAATAAAGACTATCTCTTGTTGTGTGCTACATGTGTGAAAGGGCAACTCTAGACAAAGGCCGGACCTGATTGTGCGGACATAGTCTGGAGTTCATGTGTGAAAACAGCTGAAGCCTGTAGAAAAAAAAAGGACACAAAAAAATTGAACACATGTATGTACAAGTATCAGCTTACAGTTTAAACACAATTTGTAGCACTGAGCCTGATTTTAATTTAATTTACTTGCCATTTCCAGGTTGATCTATCTCCTTAATGAAACATTACTGTCAGTAAGCAGCTTAAAAGTCTTAGGACGTATCAACCTATGTGGTAATACATGACTAAACATGTCTTAAATGCTCATGTCATAACAGTTGTTAACCCCGTTCATTACCTTATGCTATTTATTTCACTGTTTTAAATGAAAGACTCACAGGAACGCAGACCAAATTTCAAAATGTATTCTGAGGAAATCTGAGACTTCTCATGAGTGAGTGTGTGAAGATTTTGTTTCTTACACTGTATGCTGACATTTAAAAATTGTAATTATATCTCTCATATGTATATTGTTTTAAATCAAGTGTGTCTCACACTGTGCTCTTTATTAAATTAGGGCTCCTGCGATCCAATTTGTTTTAACATTTCACAGTGTCTTTGTTTAGTCGCTAAATCCCAGTGCTTAGGTTACAGTGTCTTGTTCAAAGATTTTCTTCTCAAGCCACCGCTCTGTATATGATCCCACTCGCCCTTTCAATATAATATGTTTTCTGTTACTGCCAAGACACACTATCAGGAGCTCGGGAGATTAGTGGGGCCGAGGAGAGACGGAGAGCAGCAGGGCCATACTGGTAAAGCAGTGACCCACTCCTGGATAAATAAAAATACTGCAAGAATCTTCCTTTGATGTTGTTGAGGCATCACAAAAACACTGATGTGTATGAGGAGGGGTAAGGTAGGAAAACTTCTCTTTCAGTTTTGATGACTATCTTTACCTGGCAGGAATGAAAAGTATATTTTCCCCTTTATCTAAAATATATTTTGCTTGTTTGTTTTTCTTCCTGCTCTGCACTTACACATATTTCCTTTCACTCGTGCACCGCTGGAGTTAAGCTCTTTACTTTAAAAAGTGCAGTCTCATCATAACTAAAATTGCACAGAAAATGAGAAGGAACATGAAGGTCAAGTAGTGATTATCTCCCTAAATTAATCACCTAAGATCTAAAACTAAGCAAGCAACAAATAAAAACCTTGGAGGAGCAGAAAATATATAAATGCACCAAATGGGTTATCAGAGGATCCTTTATGCACTGACTGTAGCACCCATACTTTTCAAATAACAAGGAAGCATATGAGAAAGTTTTTATTAAAAAAAACAGGAAAATAGAGAGATAGAGTAGAGAGAGGAGAGGAGGAAAAGTTCTTGATGTGAGCAGTAATCAGAGAAAGCCAGCAGGGGGGATAGGAAAGGTTGGTGGGGTCAAACCAGAGCACCACTAAGCAGCCTTTCTCTTCATTAGCAGCCTCTCTAAGGGGGGCGTCACAGGCCTACCTGTCCAGGAGATTATTGAACCGACTAACCAGTGGCTCCCACCCCACACACACACTCTCACACACTCTCCCCTCTCTGATTTCCACAGACCCAGAGGAATCACGACCTCGCTGCAGCCTCGCTGACAACTTGAACTTTTTCTTTAACCTCATGTAGCAGTGCTATAGGCCTCTACTCAATGCTTAACATTTACCTCAATATTTTCGCCATTATTTTACGTGGAGGTCTATTGTCCAACTTTTTTTTGTTTGTCTTCTCAAATTATGTATTTTTTTTCCTGCAGCAACACACCCACACTTATTCTCTGCCAATTACTCTGAGCATGTTATTAGTGTATAACTATCTGAAATGACAAAGAGAGAGCGAGAGAGAAGCACCAATAAAAAAAAGAATATCAGCATTTTAACTAATGAGACTTATGTGCTGAAGGAAATGTGAACTGCACAGATCCCTGGCTGGTCTGACAGAGAGAAAGCAGCATGGAGATAAAAGTAATGAAATGACACCCCTGGAATGTAAATTGGCGTTTTTCGCTGTAGTAGCTGCCCCGGCTCAGGATCAAGAACCATCCCTGACACACACTCAGACCAGGGCAAAATACTGTACTATAGACATTAATT